AAAACTCAGCAATGTAGTCCTTAGAGGGGATTAGGCTAGATTGTAWGGTTTTAGAGAGATTTGTTCAGCAATGTAATCCTTAGAGGGGATTAGGCTAGATTGTAAGGTTTTAGATAGATTTGCTCTTCCTTAGAGAGGGAGTATAGAGCAAAACAGTTGCACAGTATCTGATTACCTACTTCTTTCAGTCTTGAGATCTTGATGAGGAGCAAAACGGAATGAGTTTTCCGGCCAGGTTGCAAGAACTTTTCTAAATGGAGATATCAGTCTTGGTAGGTAAAAAGAGAAATTTGAAAAGCTTACCAAAGGAGGGAATAAACCATTGGATAAAGTGTCAGTAACACAAAAGTTCCCCGGTTAATATTCATTATCGAATATTGGGCCTGGGAGAGAAATCTATTAGTTGCCTTACTAATTGACATATTTTTAACATCACTGGTTTCTTCTTCAATTTTAGGTAGGAAAGAACATGACTCATTTTGGATAAAAGCCGACTAAAGGACTCATTTTTCAAGCTCTCGATGCGTGCAACATGCAGAGTTTTGAGTAATGGGAGACATACCGCGGAAGAAGAATTGCCGATGATCACATCTTTCGAACCTTCGAGTTTCAAGACCACGAGTGTTTTGCACCAAGAAACATCAAACTCAGCAAAAAAGAGTCATGAATTCCTTGTAACCACAAGGTCGGTAAGAAAATTGCAACTGGATAAAAGCAATCGAAGGGATTCAAAGTCGAATAGACTCGAGCGATCGATGTGCAGAGTTTTTAGAGATGGGAGACAAACTGTTGTAAGAGGCTCCACAACATTGATCACTATACCTTTGAGTTTCAAGACAACAAGTGTTTTGCAGGTAAACAACTCAGGAGGTAGTAGTGTCTTAACAATAGAAGCATCTATCTCGAGCTCGCGGAGATGGCAATGATGATGATTAAGCGCGGTTCTAATCCACGGTCCAATGTATTTATTCCATTGCCACACATTTACTTTGAAACAAAGGATTTCTAGAACATGAGATTGATGTGCAAGCAATGACTTGTCGATCAATCTTTCAAAACTAGTGTGGTTCTTGAGCTCCACAACATTGTACTTGAGTCTTGGAACTCTTGTCCAGAGAGATCTCCATCTTCTTGACAAGAGACTTGTCATCACAACATGTTCTATCGAAAAGAATGATAATATCTTCAAAACCAAATCTTCAGGCAACTCGCTGATACCACTAGTTGAAAAAACTTCCAAGTTCTTCGTCATGATTGACTCTGTTTCGGTCAGAAAAACAGTACTATGTTAAAACCCTAATTACAGAGATTAGATTTCTCTTTCGTACCAAGTAGACTCTGAAGACCGAGTATTCACAATTCGGAACAGAGCATCAAGTTTTTCGAGAGAATCAACCTAAGCTTGGAGATGTGGTTATGTTGGGAATGAGATCTTTCACAACTTTTCGACTCCCACAAAAAAGATAAATTATGAGTTAGTGTTTAGGTCAACCTCAATACGGGTTAGTGTTTTGGTACAATTTGTTGGTTTAATTATATCGTTGTGTATAATAAATTTAATTATTTAGGAAACTAAGTTTTGAAATTGGGTTGGATAAAAATCTTTGTTAGACAACCCAATTTCTCTTTAAATAAATACTCGATAAAGAAAGAAAGAAAATTAACTTAAATAAGTAAGGGCATCCGTATTGGTGACACCCTAAGGGTGTCATCCAATATTAAAATATTAAAATTTGAGTAAAAGTAAGAAAGAGAGTGTTTTTTGTTGAAAAAGTGTGGTGTATTGAAATATAAAATTAATAAAATTTGAGTAAAAAGAGGAGATAGAAAGAAACTTTGGAGAGATGGTGTCTATAGGGAGAGTGTTTTGACACTTTTGGAGAGTGTTTTTTAGTGGGTTTTGTTGTGTTTAAATATAAAATTAATAAAAATTGAGTAAAAAGATGAAAGAGAAAGTATAAAGTTGAGTAAAAGGAAGAGAAAGTATGTTTTTTAATATTTTTTTATTGGATGACACCCTTAGGGTGTCACCAATAAGGATGGCCTAACTAAAACACTTAAATCCAAAGGTTGTTATTGTGCCACATAGGGTAGTTTTGGCTATAAACTTGATTATAATTTTTTTTTGTCTATTGGGCAAATTAACCCAATGATAAATACATACTGTATAAGATAATAGTTTTCAATGAATACTCTATAGACTCACTATAAAGACCAACAAGTCAACAACAAAATGTTTAATTTGAACATTTGTTTTTTTTTTTGGGGTTGTAAAGGACTATTTCAATGTTAGAACGTGATTTTGTTCGACAGTAATTGGAATCGTTCGCCACTATCCGCTCTAAAACATCCAAATATTACATGGTATCCAAAACCAATTAACACGGTACAAAATGGTATCCATAAATGTCTACTTTTGGGAAAACCAATATCACTTTTTATTCTTTTTTTCCTCGAAATAAAAGTTTTATTCAACTTT